CTGAGCACAAAAGAGGGAAACAGTTTTATACAAGACACCCTACTTTTAGTGCCTGCAGGCCCAGCTATGCTTTCTGAACAATGGGGAACCTGGAGGTTTAACAAGAAACAACTGAGAATTGTGGTTCACACTAGTGGGCAGTTTTGCCCATCAGAATACATTTGGCAACGTCTGGAGACATTTTCGGTTGCCAGGATGGGGTTGGGGGAAGGCTGCTACTGGTATCTAGTGGGTAGAGGTCAGGGATGCCACTTAACACCCTACAACCTGCAGGACAGTCCCTCACAGCAAACAATTATCCAGTCCCAAAGGTCAAGAGTGCTGCCATTGAGAACGCTTGCCTTGGACTGTTACTGATGCAAGCTGAAACATTTTTAGCTCTTACTGTGGGCCAGACATGAAGTTACTTTATCCCAGCGAATCCTAATAACAACTCTATGAAGCAGGTGGTACCATTATCCCCATCCTGTGGATGAGAAAACTGAGGCACAAAGAGATTAAGACCATGTCCAAAGTTGCACAGCTGGAGAACAGTAGCTGAGATTTAAAATGAGGCGGTCTGACAGCAGAGCTACACCTGTGACCGCTCGCCTCACTCGCCTCCCTCCCTATGATCACTCCAGCTCCAGGGGCCAGGCCGGAGGGGGAGAGGCTGGCTTGGAAGCTTCTGCTGGGATCCCTGTGAGCCGTGAGGGGGCCCGGAATAAGGGAGCAGCCGAGGGCCGGAGGAGCCTTAACTAATAGGCCTGTGATACGAGATGGGACGAAGGGCTAAGGCGGCAACACCCCTCCAGTAACTCACATCAGAGGTGGAAGGCGAGCTGTTACGCCATTTGTGGATGTTTTACAAACCCCTGGGGCACAGAAGTGACACCCCTGGCCCCTCAGCCCTCCTTGGCTGCAAGCAATTGCTTCAGCTCACTCTCCTCTCAGCCCCCACGGCCCAGCAGGGCGACAAACCCACTCCTGGCGTTTCATTCTGGTGCTTGAGAGAGAGAACACTCACCAGCGAGGTAAAAGGACAAACCGTCAGTATCTCAGGCTCACGGCAGGGCTTTTCCTCTCCCCAGGCCGGGGTTCAGGAGTGAGGACTAGCAGCTGAGCTGGACAGCCAGCCGGGGAGCCCCAAGTGCCCCCGGCTGCACACTCCCATCCTCGGGGCCGCGGAGCCACGGCTGGGCAAAGACCCCCAGGCTGGAGGCTCCCCTCGGTCCGGTCCATCATCTCCCGGACGAGCAAGGCCCCCTGCCCTGCAGGAGGCAGGCAGGCTCCCGGCCCGGTGCGCTTCTCCACCTGGGAGGCTGGGAGGTGGGGCCTGCCTCTGTCAGAGACCGAGGTAGTGCCTTCCACAGGCCCCAGCCCTCACTGCATCCAGCATCGCCTCACTGACAAACAGCGACTGGGGGGTGGAAGCACTTCAGGAAGGGAAGAGTGAGAAGGCAACAAACATTTTATAGACCTTCCACACCGGTGCTCACCTTCAGCTGTGAGGATGAAGAAACTGAGGCTAAGAGGGTTTTAGAGACCTTGCCAGGTACACGGGCAGCTGCTCTCTCCCTCCCAGACGAGGGGAGGTTCCAGGGAAGGCTGAGATCTTGGAAGTTTGGGGTCTTCATCCCACAACTGGGGCCAAGCAGCCCAGGTGGTCCTCCACTCAGCCTGACAAGAACTGGGGCACCACCTCCCGGCAGCCCCAAACCCTCGGCTCAGGCAGAGGAGCAAGGCTCCCGGGGGCCGGCCAGAGCTCATCCCTCAGAACCAGCGAGGGAACTACCAGGTCATTCCCACCAGATTGTTCACACCGAGACCCAGGGGCTCCAAGGAGGGGTCTCGGGGGCTCCGGTGGGTGGGGTTCTAGGGCCCCCCGCCCACCCCAACCTGTGCAGATCTTTTTTGGTCTTCCTTTTATTTGGCCTTCACATAGCATTTCACTTGAACAAAAGGTTATGAAGAACTTACAAAACAGTTTGAAAACCACTGCTCTGAGGCACGAGGCCTTTGTCCAGAAGGAGGGACACTAACGCCTAGTAAGCCTTCATCAGCTTAAACCCCACCAACTGGAATCTGTGAACATTTGGGTGGGTAGCTTTACCTTCCTGTCTCCACCTCCCTCAGACCCCCCAGGCCCTCCGTTCTTTAATACGGCCGATTTACACATTTTTCAACCATTCAGTCCCCTCTTCTACCCAGACTCCTGTACCAACATCTTGGCCTCTACGGGAATTCTAGGACCCTCCCCAGGCTGAGCAGAGGCTGAGATAAGGGAATCGTGCGGTGGGCAGGGGGAGAGGGGAGGAGAGCCACCCAGCAAATCAGGAACGTGGAGCAAGATGGGGTTGGTTCAGTTACCTAATCACACATTTCCAAGGTACAACGGAAGTGCCAGCTTTCTTTCAAACAATGGCGTGTGGATTTTGAGCGGGTTTATTTCCTCCATTACACCGTGTTTCCTTGGCAACACTGCGGGCCTACTGAGTAAGAGCCCTTGAAAAATGAGGTATAGTGGAGACAGAGGCACCAAGTTTCAGGAGATGGCACGGCACTGGTGGTATTTGGCTAAATCCTTCCTCGGCCTGGAGCGTGGTGAGGGGTGGAAGGGGGAGAACCCTAGGGGAATACTCTTTACAGAGAGAAAACAACTATTCTCAGCATGCTGTTAGGGGACAAGTGATCCAGGGTGAAGTGGGGTCTCTGTGGTCATTTCTTTGGATGCTTGGAGGGGATCTGTACCCTAGGGGATTGTTGCAGCCCAACCAAGAATTAAGACCTCAGCTCTCTGCAGGGGCGGGAATCACACTAGGGGAGTGACACAGTTGAGGGGTTGAAAATCACACCTAATGGGGTGATTACACAGGGTTAAAATGGTGGGGGTGGGGGGAAGTTGGCAAAGATCACTGATGGGAGAACCAACCTGTGGGCTAAAGGGTGGGCTTCCTGGAGGCGGGGGTGTGCACTGGGAGAGGAGAAAGATCTGTGAGCAGATGAAATGGGAGAGGACAGAGGAATCAAAGGGACACAGTCCTAAATGCAGGCAAGCTCAGGCAGTGCTCGCCTTGGCTGCTTGTTAGAATCACCTGAGGAGCTTCAAAAACTAAATCAGTCTTGGGGGCGGGGCCTGGGCATGGGGATTTAGCCCAGGTGATTCCAGGTGGATTCAAGGTAGAAAACTGGGTGTATCAAGGGGAGCGGAGGAAATGCAGGGACAGCATCCGCTACTGCCAGGCTTCTGAGCCTTCCTCTCATCGCGGCGGGGCAGGCACGATCCAGCTACGGGGCATTGTTGTAAGACTCTGAGGAAGGCGGCTGAGGGGCTAGGAAACACCACTGCTCTGGACAGTGGTTCTCAAAGGGCGGCGCCAGCACCACCTGGGAGCTTGTTAGGAATGTACATTTCTGAGCCCAGCCCCAGAGCTGCAAAATCAGAAACTCTCGAGGGCAGAACTTGGGAATCCGTGTCTCCCCGAGCCCTCCAGGCAAGTCCGATGTACGAACGTTTGAGAGCCGCTGGTCCAGGAGAAAGGTGGCTTGGTCGGCTTCCAAGCCAGGTGACCTGGGTCTCCCCTCGGCACACCCACCCTCACTCCCTAGCTGGGAGCCACTCGGAGCCTCGATTCCCTGACCTGTAAAATGCAGTTGTGAGGATTAAAATCCTGGGCGCCCTTAGTCTGACCACAGGGACTACAGGGCAGGAACAGGACAGGCAGGGGCAGAGGGTGAGGAGACACCCAGTGGTGGGGGGAGCTGCTGGTCCAGCCGCCCTGACTCAGTGGCCCTCATCCCTGTGGCCCCCTCCCTGAGCCTGCCCTGCCAGTGGGCCTGAGGGGAAGGATTCATGGAAACAGCAGGCAGGGAGCGGACATGATGGGGGCAGGGGGAGAAGGAGCAGAGCCTTACTTTATTAAATTTCAATTCTGAGTGGTGACGGTGACATCCGCCATGTGGGCTAGAAATGGGCTGTCTGTCCTATTTACCAAGAATGAGCTGCTGGCCCCGCCACGGACAGGACAGGCTGATTTAAGGGTTTGGTTACTGGTCATTAACCCCTTGACCCAGAGGTTAGTTACTGTGCTGAGGACTGTGGGGCACTGATGCTAAATCAGGAATGAAGGCGAGTTATTTCCAAAATGATCTTATATTCACTAAGCATGGAACCAGGGGCATCTAGGGAACAGAAACACTTAGAAACATTCTGTCTGCCCTAACCATGAAGGGCAGACACGTGCAAAGCAAGGTGCCTAGCTCAGACTCCCCACAGTGAGCTTGTTTCCCTGGGGCAGCTAAGCACAGGAACCCCCAGCCCAGGTCTGCAGCTGGCAGCCAGCCCCTAGTCAGCAGTCCATCCAGTTTAATTCAGCAAACACTCCTTCATGCCCCCGAGGGCGTGGGCCTGAGCTAGGGACCGGGAAGCAGAGAGGAGCCACGCAGGGCTTCCCTCAGGAGCGCTCAGCCTGCGGGGGAGACAGCCATGCTGAAAAGTCTGGAAAGAACAGCCTCCTCAGCGCAGACCAGGAGCAGGCTGGCAGAGCTGGGGGGACGAACTCTCCCCGGGGCTGGCCCGGGGAGGGAGGAGATCTGAGATCAGCCTGGGAGGAGAGCAGTTTGCCCAGATAACTGACAAGGGCAGGGGACCTCGGGCAGAGGAAGAGGATAAGCAAAGTCACAGAGGCTCGGCACTGCATGGCCAGTCAGGGAAGATGGGGCTGGAGAAGCAGCTTGGGAGCTGCAGAGTTTGGACCGCACCTTGCTGGTCATGGGGAGCTGGGACCTCCGATTAACCAGCACTCCTTTTGTCAGCACATCTGAGGGGTCCTCAGAGTCTTCTGAGTCAAAGACATTCCAGGGGCCTGGAAGTGAGCTGGGGTTAGAGGTGACTCCGGCCGCTTGGCAGGCCTGCCTGGAAGAGCACGGCCATGGGCCTGCAGGGCAGCTGGGAGAGGAGTCGAGCTTTGGGCAGAGGTGTGGTCTCCGGATGTAAGACTGAGCAGAAAAGTCAAAGGTATGATTTCTGCCTCCCACTGTGCACCTGAAGCGGGCAGCCGGGGAAGCAGCCGTGGGCACTACTGCCGGGCTCGGAAAGCCTGACTTGGATGCCTAGTGCGTGTTTTCCTGTTTCTCTCCAGGCCTTGTGCCCGCAGCATGGGTGTCATCGCTCTCCCACTGCCTGCGGGTTGTGTGCGGCCCAGCCAGCCCCAGCAGCAGCCCTCATCCCCCGCCTTGCGCTGTCTTCTCTCCCTGTGACTGCTGGTGTCTCCTGGGCCCACTACGTCCCTGTGAGAGCCTCTGCCTCAGGAGAAGGACAGGTAACAGGGGTCACCCTGGGCTTCCCACAGGGAAACCAGTGAGAGTCCAGAGACAGAGCAGAAATGACGGCTACAGGGTTCTTGATGCTGAGGGTTTTCTTTGCTTTCTTGTGACAGCATCTTGCCTCACCCTGGCCATATGGGCAGGCCTGTCCCACAGGCTGGCCAATCAGAGCGCCCTGTTGCCTTGGCCCAGGATTGGTTCCAGGATGGGCATGTGACCCAGTCTGGGCCAATAAGAGTCCTCCCTGGGTGTGTGTGTGTGTGTGTGTGTGTGTGTGTGTGTGTTTACAAAAA